CCTGTCACCAGAGCCCCGGGCTCAAGGGACCGCCCTGTGTGAGCTGTGTGCACCTGTCTGTTTTGGCAGGACAGTGGCTGTGACTCTGGTGGGTGGGGCTCCCCATCCCCCACTCAGCACAGCTGGCTGGGGCTGCAGGGGGGACAGGGCTCTCCCCCTAGCCTGGCTGGCTGGGGCCCTGAGGCTGCTGTTACGGCTGTGGTGGTGGCAGGGCTCTCCTCCCTGGGCAGCTGGCTGAGGTGTTGCAGTACTGTTGCCCTGGCTGGGACAGTGAGCAGGATTCTCAGCAGTGCATGCCTGTCAGCATCAGCAGGTTGGAGTGAGAGTTCCAAGATGCCACCTTCCAGTGTTGGCACTAGCAAGGTGGAAAGTGACTGCAAAAATGGCGCCCAACAGTGTCTCCCTCCCTAGAGAGTATATCCAGTTTCCTGCCTCTCCAGCAGATGCCCTAGGATGAGAAGTGGGTCTCCTTCACCTATGTTCTAGGCGTTTTTCCAACTGGTGTTTTATTGCAAGACCGCTTGTGAACCCTTTAGGAAAGTGGGTTCTCTGTTCTCTATAGCTCTGTAATACTAACAATAATAAAACTACTGTAAAAACTAACAGTAATAAACTGTTAGTTTTCAAAACCCAGCTTTTTGGGGGCTCCTGTCTCCTATGTAGGACCTAAGGGTTGCAGTTCCTGATGTGGAATTTCAACTCCTCACTCCTCAGGGAGAAGTTCTGTGGTTTTTTTGTTTTGTTTTTTTAAAGGTTTTATTTATTTGAGAGAGAGCACAAGCAGGGGGAGCGGCAGGCAGAGGGAGAAGGAGAAGCAGAAGCAGACTCCCTGCTGAGCAGGGAGCCCGTCGGGCTGGATCCCAGGACCCTGGGATCATGACCTGAGCCGAAGGCAGACGCTTAACCGACTGAGTGACCCAGGCTCCCAGAAGTTCTGTTTTTAATACCCCTCCCATTGTGGATCACTGCACTTGAGGTGGGGTTTTTCTTTTTTTTGATGAGACCTTGTCTCTGCCAGTCCTACCTGTCAGAATGCTATCATTTTGTCCCTCATTGTGGAGGTTCTGTTGATCTAGTTTTCAGGTCTTTTTCTGAGGAGATTATTCCATATGTGGCTGTATATTTGTTGTGTCCATGGGAGGAGGTGAGCTCAGGATCTTCCTATGCCACCATCTTGAATCCTCCTTCCACTATCTACTCTTCATTTTTAAAGAATAGTATGCCAAGTATAGGATTTTTGGTTGGCAGGTTTTTGTTTTTGTTTTCTTTTTTTTTAAGATTTTATTTATTTGTCAGAGAGAGAGAGCATGCACAAAGCAGGGGGAGCAGCAGGCAGAGGGAAAGGGAGACTCCTGGCCGGGCAGGGAGCCCAATGGGGGGCTCGATCCCAGGACCCTGGGATCACGACCTGAGCCGAAAGCAGACACTTAACCGACTGAGCCACCCAGGCGTCCCAGCAGTTTGTTTCTTTCAGTTCTTCGGATATATCAACCCACTGTCATCTGGTCTGCAAGGTTCTTTTGAGAAATCCAGTTATAGTCTTATTGGTGGGGAGGGGGTGGTTCCTTATGAGATGGTTTTCTCTTGCTGCTTTTAAAATTCTATCTGAGGGGGACGCCTGGGTGGCTCAGTCAGTTAAGCGTCTGCCTTCGGCTCGGGTCGTGATCCCAGGGCCCTGGGATCGAATCCCGCATCGGGCTCCCTGCTCCGCGGGGAGCCTGCTTCTCCCTCTGCCTCTGCCTCTCTCTCTCTCTCTCTATCTCTCATGAATAAATAAATAAAAATCTTAAAAAAATAAAATAAAATTCTATCTGAGGGGTGCCTGGGTGGCTCAGATGGTTAAGCATCTGCCTTCGGCTCGGGTCATGATCTCAGGGTCCTGGGATCGAGTCCCACATCGGGCTCCCTGCTCCTTGGGAGCCTGCTTCTCCCTCTGCCTCTCTCTCTGTCTCTCATGAATAAATAAATAAAATCTTTAAAAAAAAAAAATTCTATCTGAGGTGCGCCTGAATGGCTGAGTTGTTGGTTAAGCGTGTGACTTGATTTCAGCTCAGGTCATGATCTCAGGGTCGTGAGATCGAGCCGCACGTCAAGCTCCACACTGGGCATAGAGCCTGCTTAAGATTCTCTCTCTTCCTCTACCCACCGCACTCACTCTCTCTAAAAATATAAATATAAGATAAAATTGTATCTGATTGCTGCTTTGACAGTTTATAGTAATCCTCCTTTATCTGCAGGGGATATGTTCCGAGACCCCTAGTGGGTGCCTAAAACTGTGGATAGTACCGTACGAACCCTATATGTAACTTTTTTTTTCTTACATATGCATATCTGTGATGTTTAACTTATAAATAAGGTATGGTAAGACATTAATGACTAATAAACAGAACAATTATAAACAATATATTGGAATAAAGTATGTGAATGTGGTCTCTCAAGTCTCAAAATACCTTATTGTACTGTACTCACCTTTTTTCTTGTGATGATGTGAGATGATAAAATGCCTATACAATGAGACAAAATGAAGTGAATGTTGCAAAAATTGTGATGGTAGCTTAAGCTACCATTGACCTTCTGACTACACAACAGGAGGAGGGTCATCTGCTTCCACACAGCTGTTGACCACAGGAGCTGAAACTGCAGAAAGCAAAACTGGATAAAGGAGGACTAGTCTTGGTGCGCCTGGGGGGCTCAGTTGGTTAAGCGTCTGCCTTCGGCTCAGGTCATGATCCCAGGGTCCTGGGATCCAGCCCCACATCAGGCTCCCTGCTCAGCGGGGAGTCTGGTTCTCCTTCTCCCTCTGCCCCTTCCCCAGCTTGTGCTCTCTCTCATGAATAAATAAAAATTAAAAGAAAAAAAAGAAGTACTCTAATTACAATCTTTCTCAGTGTAAACCTCTGTATGTTCAATTATTTGGGGTCCTTTGAGTGTCTAGAGTCTGGATGTCTATTTCCTTCCCTAGATTTGGAAAGTTTTTGGTCCTTATTTAAGTAATCTTTCTGCTTTTCTCTCCTTTTAGGATTTCTGTAATGTGTATATTGGCTTATTTGATAGTATCCCATAAATCGTGTGGGCTTTCACCATTCTTTTTCATTCTCTTGAAGGCTGCTGAGCTTCTTTAAAACAATTTTAATTCTCTGCCAGGCAATTCCTAGATCCCCATTCTTTGGGAATGATTGCTGGAAATACATTACGTTCTTTTGGTGGTGTCATGTTTCCCTGATATTTGTGTTCTTGTGGCCTTGTAGTGGTGTTTGCATTTTAAGAAGCAGTCACCTCTTCTAGGCTTTCCAGGCTGGCTTTGTTAGGGAAGGACCACCTGCAAGTGAGTATGAGGCCGCTGGCTAGGTGGGGGTGCATGTTGGCACTGGATATAGGGGATAATGTGGGTGCAAGATTCATGGTAGGCATATGCTGGCGCCAGCAGTGGGGGGAGCACCGTGGTGTTGGCTAGGGGTAGGATCACATGGCAGCATCCACTCTGGGTGGCACACAACAACTCTAGCTCCTCCAGCAGCTGGGATCCACATCTCTGAAAACTGAGGGGATTTGCAGTAGAGGTAAAGACTGCTGAGGTCGTCCTCCTTTTCCCCACAAGGGAACTGTCAGCCAAGGTAATTCCTCTTGATAGTGAGATGGTCCAGCCTGGAGGATGTGGTGACACAGGAATAATGCTTCCTACCCCTTTTCTATGTGATTATCCTCAGTTTTTATGCTTTGCTGGGTTGTTGGAACTCATTAACTGTAGTCCATATCTCTCCCAAAGCTATTTTCATGCTTGGGTAATTGCTAAATTGTTTTGTGGGGCACTAGAGTTGGGATCTCCTCACCCTCCATCTTGTTGCTGTCATTCTGTTACTGATTTCTAACTTCATCCCATTGTGGTCAGATAAGATACCTTCTATAATATCTTTTTAAATCTGTTGAGTCTTGTTTTGTGGTCAGTCCTGATGAATGTCCCTTATGTGTTAGAGAAGGATGTGAATGTCTGTTGTGTTCTGTATATTTTTATTAGATCAAGTTGGTTTATTATGTGCATGTGCTGTATTTCATATCTTTTTTCTGATTCTGATTTCAGTTGTCCTATTTTCAAGTCCGCTGATTATTCTACATGTTCAAGTCTGCCTTTGAATCTCTTCAGTGAGTATCTCTTTTCAGTTACTGTACTTTCCAGGATTTCCTTTTGGTTTTGTTTTATGTTTTAGAAAACATTAAAATTATTCCTACTTTGTTTATATATTGTTTTCTGGATGTTGTTCACTGTTCCTTTAGCTCTTTAAGCAATCTTTACGATGGTTGTTTTAAAGTCTTTATTTAGTATGTCCACCATGTAGTTTTCTCAGAAAGTGTTGATTTCTTTTTTTCTCCTTTGAATGGGACATTCCTTCCTGTTTCTTTGTGATTTTTTTGTTGTTTCTGAAAACTAGACATTTGAATCTTACAATATGGGAACTCCATAAATCCGATTCTTCCCTTTCCCCCCGGTTTACTGGGTTGGGGTTGTTGTTGTTGTTGTAGGGAATCTCTTTGGTGGGGATCACATCACCTGAGAGAGAAATCTAAGGTCTCCTTTGTTCTTCTTTGAGCCTGCATCTTTTCAGGATATATGCAATGATTTTCTAAAGTTTTTGAAGCTGTTGATTTTGAATATCTAAATCCTTCAATATTTAGCTCCCAAAAGGGGAAAATGGGGGAAAAAATAGCCACTGTCTTTCTAAACTCCTTGGAAGCTGCTTTGGCCAATGGGAATTACCACAGTGTCAGCCTGCTTCTGTCTACACATGTACGATCAAGAGCAATCAAAACACAGATCCCAGATTTTTGGAGGACAAAGTCCTTATTACCCACCCTGATTGTATTACCCAACCAATGCAGGTCACTCTTTGGTGAATTATAGAGACTACACCAGGTGGAGTTGCCTCGCAAAGTCATCTTTATTTGCAGCAAATAAGGAAATCACAGGGACTCCTTTCCAAAGCTGTAATTCCCTGAGCAGGGGTTCTTTTATTAGGATCGGGATGAATATTCAGAGGTGGAGGCCTTGTCATTACAGGCAAAAAGGTACACATGCGCACTCAGCACTCATACTGTATGTCATGTTACGAGTTTAATGCCCCTCCCAGGGATTTTAACATTATAATGAAACTGAGGTAGCTGTTAGGCACTTGAGGATTCATCTGTATAGGCATCTTCCTGGGGGCCGTACTCAAAATACTAGTTTTCCTGTTCTAACAATTCGTTAGTTTTTTTTTTTTTTTTTAATTCATTCATTTGAGAGAAAGAGTGTGAGTTAGGGGGAGAGGGACAAGCAGATGCCCTGCTGAGCAGGGATCCCGATAAGGGCTCGATCCCACAGCCATGAGATCATTATGTGAGCCAGACACCAAGAGCCAGACACTAAGCCGCCTGAGCCACCCAGGCACCCCAATTTGTTAATTCTAAAAGATAAAATTGATAGTAGGGTAGAAGCTTCTAGGAGCTTCCAGAGTTTAGGGGGTCTCCCTGGTGACAGTTACCCCAAGCTACACTAGGAACACTGGCGCAGCTGCCTGCCACGGGGTTGGGGAGTGGAGAATGGGTAGCTGTTGCTGATGGGGGAAACAAAGGCAGAAGAAAAATTACTAAATTTCCTTACTACCTACAGCCCATTGACATGTCCTTGAAACAGGCCGAGAGACATTCCTCTAGGGACTCAACTGCTTCAATGTTAATACTTTGCTAAGGGCAAAAGGCAATCCTAGCCTGACCTTCCGTTTCCCGCCCCCCCCCCAATCCTGTAAGTCTACTTTAACGTATAAGAATGCCTTTGGAAACTTCCTTTATCTCTAAACACCCCACCCCTCCCCACAAGATACGTGTTGATAATCATCCCCCAGGCATATGGCCCACCAATATACATCCGAAGGGTCTCATGACTAAGGTTTTATTAGACGGTAATAAATGACCTTTTCCCAACAATAGCTAGCCCACTCAAGGTCCTGGGAGCCTTGCTTCCAAGTTCTTAGAGACTTCACTATATCCCTAACCCCCTCCCAATTTGAAAGTATATAATGGGCCACTCCTCATGACCCCATTGCAGCTCTTTCTGCCCATGGGTCCTGTCCTCGTGCTTTAATGAAATCACCTTTTTGCACCAAAGACGCTTCAAGAATTCTTTCTTGGCCGTCAGCTTCGAATCTTAATAACGTCTTTCCTACATCAGTTGCTACACTGAGCTGAAAGTGACCAAAATTAACTGATTATTTACCAGTCAAACCTTCCCCTAGAAACCGCAAACCTTCTAATAGACGTCAGAGTTCAAAAATAGTTACTTCATATAATCTACCATGAGGTGTATCTCCCTTCTTTACAAGTTTAAGAACAGGCAAAATTGGTCAGTAGTGGGGATAATCACTTCTTCACTCATTAGATCTTCTCTAATTTCAATCTTTGAAGGAAGGCCTATTTTTTTTATGGGGCTTGAGCCCACAACCCTGAGACCAAGACCTGAGCTGAGACCAGGAGTCAGACACTCAACTGACTGAGCCACCCAGGTGCCCAAAAAAAGGCCTATTTTAATTTACTTGGGTTATATTAACTATTTTAGTGGAGGAGGGGTGTCCATGGGGGTTCAGTTTTGTCAAGACGATTTGTTACTGCTAAAGTCTTTTTATTATTCTTATTTTTAAATAAGTTCCACACCCATCATGGGGCTCGAACTCATGACCCTGAGATCAAGAGTCACATGCTGTACCAAGTGAGCCAGCCAGGTGACCCTATAATTGCCAAAGTCTTAATTTTAATTTATTACTCATTTGGGCAGAGCTTTCTTACCCACCAGGGGATGTTTTGGGGCAGTGGGTGCTATGACCATGAAGATTTAGGCAAGACAATAATAGTTCTGATGGTCAAGATAAAGCCTACCTATTTGTCCTCCACTTTATATTCAGTAACTCCCTTAAAGGATTATAAGGAGTACCTTGGTTAAATTTATTGGGGCCTCTAGATACAACTATAATTTGAAGGGCGCCTGGATGGCTCAGTCATTAAGCGTCTGCCTTCGGCTCAGGTCATGATCCCAGGGTCCTGGGATCGAGCCCTGCATTGGGCTCCCTGCTCCGCGGGAAGCCTGTTTCTCCCTCTCCCACTCCCCCTGCTTGTGTTCCCTCTCTTGCTATCTCTCTCTCTGTCAAATAAATAAATAAAATCTTTAAAAAAAAAAACAACTATAATTTGAGCCTCAGTATTAAGGCCATGAAGGTTTACCAACTGGCACATTTCAGCAGATATTAAAGTTAATTCAGAACCTATGTTACAGAGGCGCAAAGCCAATCTGTGCCTTTTTGTTATTGTAGCAAATTTTTTTTATTTTGAATTTTCAATTGGGTCAAATTGTGGACCCTTATTTTAGCCTTTGTTATAGTTCCCTCACTGTGTCCAGGTTTCTTTCTTTCTCCTTCCAGTTACTGGGTATATACTTCAGCGGGTTCTCCTATATTTCTCCTCATCTGTATAAATTTCTTTCTCCAAAGATCCTCCAATTAGCACCCTCATGGTTAAGGGCCTCCCTCAGGGTATGGTCGCTTTATAGTGTTTAAGGACCCTGGGTTTAAGTTTAGTTTGAATTAACCCTTTCACTGTGCTACAGGGATACCATGGGTGTTTTTCCCTATAGCCCTGACAATAGGGATTTTTGTTAGAACAGAGGTGCACAGGTAGCAAAAGGGTTCTGGACTCATAACCCAAGGTCAATGGATCAAAACCATCCTGTGCTACAATCCTACCTTTTCTGCCATGCCACTCTTTCTTCTCCTTTCTCTTTGTACAAAGAATATGTTGGGTTTCTAGCCACATAAAGTCCTAGCTTTCAGTTTCTGTCTCTGTCCAACCATTCCTACTGTAGACCTTCTGGGAATTATGGGAAAAGTTCAGGAACCCAATGACCAGGCTCATGGGTGGCTGTTTTTCCTCCAGGGAGCGCCAAACTCTCTCCCAGATTGAGGTTCACATCCAGTATAAGGTCATGTTGTCTATGGCATATTTACATAAGCACTTAATGCTAGTAATTTCTTTCTAAGCACTGCTGTAGCTGCATCCTGTGAATGGCGATATATAGCACAGTAGACTCTTGAACAACACATTTGAACTTCAGGGGTCAACTTATACCTGGATTTTTTTTGGACAAATACAGTACAATACTATAAATGTGTTTTTTCTTATGATTTCATTTTCTCTATCTTTATTATAACAATACAGTATATAATACATATAACATATAAAATGTGTGTTAATCGACTGTTTATGTTATCTTAAGATTTCTGGTCAACAGTAGGCTATTAGTAGTTAAGTTTTGGGGGAGTCAAATTTATATACAGATTTTTGCCAGTGTGAGGGTTTGGTTCTAATCCCTGCATTGTTCAAGGGTTAACTGTATTTTTATTTTCTTTCTAGTCATAATACTTTAAAATTTCTCCTCTGACTTCCTGTTGACTTTCCTTAATCTTCAGATATTTGGAGATTGTATAGGTACCTTTCTCTGACTTCTAGTTTAATTTTATTTTGTTCAAAAGCCTGCGTTATATGATTTCAGTTTTCTTCAATTTGTTAGTTTGTTTTATAGTCTAGAATATAGTCTCTTTTAGTGCTTAGAAAGAATGTGTATTCTGCTGTTGTTGGGTGGAGAGTTCTACAAATGTCAAGTTTGTTTCAATTACATCACTATATTTAAAGTAGGTTTCTTGTAGGTAGCATATAGCTGGATCTTTTTTAAAATAAAATCTGAGAGTCTCTCTTAATGTGTTTAAGCCATATGTATTTAATGTAATTATTGGTGTGGTGGGATTTATGTCTATATGATATGATATAATAATGAACATTATCTGGGTCCTTGGTACAGAATTTCTAAAACTCTTGGAGTTTATTGTTTTTTGTATGTTAATGAGGTAACTCCTAGGGGGAGGAATGCCTAGATAGCTTCAGGATGTGGGCTCGTGGCCAGAAAAACCAACCACACTGTGTTATAGGCAACTAATGAATCATTGAACACTACATCAAAAACTAATGATGTACTATGTGGTGGCTATTGAATTTAAATTTGGAAAAAAAAAAAAAAACCCAACCACATAATTAGAGGGCTAAAATTTTCAGCCGCACTCCCAACCTTCTGGGAGGGGAGAGGCATCAGAGATTGAGCTCAATCCCTGTGGCCAGTGATTCAATCAATCATGCCTATGTAATGATGAAACCTCCATAAAAAAATCCTCAAAACAAGTTCTAGAGAGCTTCTGGGTTGGTGAACACACGGCTGTGTTGGTAGGGTGGCACCCTGGAGAAGACATGGAGGTTCTGTGTCCCCCACCCTCTACCCCATGTCCTATGCATCACTTCCATTTGGCTGTTACTGTGGTGTAGCCTTTATAACCAGTACTCGTAAGTAAAGTGCATTCCTGAGTTCTGAGTCCTAATCAAACCTGAGGGGGTAGGGGGACCCCCAAATTTGTAATCGGCCAGGCAGAAGTGTGGCTGGCATCTGAAGTGGACATAGTCTTGTGGGACTGAGCCATTTAACTTGTGGAATCTGATGCTAACTCCAGGTAGACCATGTCATTATTGAATTGAATTTTTAGATACCCAGTTAGTGTCAGAATTAGTTGGTGTGAAAAACAACATGTATTTGGTATCAGAGAAAAAAAACCACACGTTCTTCTCACTTACTATTTTTCTTCTGTTTGTTCTTTCCATTTTTCTATTCCTGTTTTCCCTTTCCTGCTGTCTTTTCCTTTCCTGGGTTCACTGTTACAGGCACCGCCTGCCCAGGACAGGGAATGGGCAGGAGGGGTGAGTTGGCTGAGGTCGTGGGCAGCAGAAAAGCTGATTTCCCAGTTCCGGTTCCTCAGATTCTGCGTTTCTTCCCCACGATGCCGGAACCCTTCTCCCCACAGTGCCACACTGTAGGCTCTTCTGTGGATTTCTCCAGATCTTCTGACTCCATGAACCTCATTCTGAACAATCTTCATGGAGGCTTTTCTTTCCCCTAACAGGTGCTATTAAATTCAATTTCTAGAAAGTACTTCTACCTCTGCCTGGATTAATTTCACATTTTTGAGGACCTGACCTGTAAGTGACCATCTCCCTGTGATACGCTGGGAGTGTTAAGTCTGCAGAGACCTGCTCCCAGCACCACTGAGGACAGACAACCACATCGCGAGCCCCATTGGTCTTTTTTTTTTTTTTT